TTATGAGCCAAGATTTTAAAAAAAGTATTATGTATAGGCTAACATTTTGTCACACCAGGGGTGTAGCCATCATTTCAGAAGTGACAGAAATGTCAAATACAATAATTTTATGTATGTAGCCTATGTATTATTATTTATTTAATTTTTTTTTACAAGGAATTATTTTCTTATCTATTACTTTGAATTTGCTATAAGAAATCAAATACACTGCTGGACAATAATCAGTCATTTGTAATCTATATATTTTTTCTAATGGCAATTTTATGATTGTTTTATATACTACAAACAATTATTTAAATTTTCTGCACAGAATAAGGTAGAAAATATACTTTATAGTTTCTGTACTGTAATAAATGATATGTCAATGCCTTTGCCTTTGTCAATGCCTTTGTCCATATTAGGCATTTCCTGGCATGTCTTAAGTTCCTTGAGCACAAAATCACTTCTCTTTCTGTGCGAAAACTTCTTTATCTAATTTTCATAAAATAAAATGCTATAGTATTTAACTTTTCCTCTCCATCAGCGAATGATGATTCTGAAAGAAAATGCGCCAGATGTCTGTTTGCTATAGCAACAAACGCTACTTTCATGCATCTGATTATCAGATAAACCTTGCACTCTTATTTCAAGGTTTTTGTTAATGCTGTGATTATTTTAACAGTTTCCTTCGTACATTCGGTTGAACGACATTGTTAAAACACATTTATCATTCAATGGAACTGTGCGTATGCTTCAGACACGTAAATTTTTTCTCCGTCCATGCAATAAATACGCAGCTTTCGACTGCTCAGGTAATGTCGTCGGTATGACCGAGAGGCATTGAAAAACTACAGAAAAGTAAAACTACTTCACTTTAGCATTACTGGCCACGAGTACTAAGGAGAGATCACACATCAGCTGCTCAAAAAAGATGAACGGAGCTCGAGTGCAATCCTGTGAAAGTCACAGGCGTTAAATACTGGAGCGCATGAAGGAGAGATGCGAGGCACGAACACTGTTCAAGGTCTCCATTAATTCGTGCTTGTAGCAATTTAATGTGTATATATTTTGAAAGCATTGAATCGCTAGAGAAATCGCGATTCATTCGATTCTTAGAGTTTTAAATCGATTACTGTCCGAAATCGACGATTCACGATTCAAAAATCCATGTTTCAAGATCGATGCATATGCATCATCAGGGTTTGGAATCGATGCATTGATAAAACGAGTGATTCAATACACCCCTAATATATATATATATATATATATATATATATATATATATATATATAGAATAAGGTAGAAAATATACTTTATAGTTTCTGTACTGTAATAAATGATATGTCAATGCCTTTGCCTTTGTCAATGCCTTTGTCCATATTAGGCATTTCCTGGCATGTCTTAAGTTCCTTGAGCACAAAATCACTTCTCTTTCTGTGCGAAAACTTCTTTATCTAATTTTCATAAAATAAAATGCTATAGTATTTAACTTTTCCTCTCCATCAGCGAATGATGATTCTGAAAGAAAATGCGCCAGATGTCTGTTTGCTATAGCAACAAACGCTACTTTCATGCATCTGATTATCAGATAAACCTTGCACTCTTATTTCAAGGTTTTTGTTAATGCTGTGATTATTTTAACAGTTTCCTTCGTACATTCGGTTGAACGACATTGTTAAAACACATTTATCATTCAATGGAACTGTGCGTATGCTTCAGACACGTAAATTTTTTCTCCGTCCATGCAATAAATACGCAGCTTTCGACTGCTCAGGTAATGTCGTCGGTATGACCGAGAGGCATTGAAAAACTACAGAAAAGTAAAACTACTTCACTTTAGCATTACTGGCCACGAGTACTAAGGAGAGATCACACATCAGCTGCTCAAAAAAGATGAACGGAGCTCGCGTGCAATCCTGTGAAAGTCACAGGCGTTAAATACTGGAGCGCATGAAGGAGAGATGCGAGGCACGAACACTGTTCAAGGTCTCCATTAATTCGTGCTTGTAGCAATTTAATGTGTATATATTTTGAAAGCATTGAATCGCTAGAGAAATCGCGATTCATTCGATTCTTAGAGTTTTAAATCGATTACTGTCCGAAATCGACGATTCACGATTCAAAAATCCATGTTTCAAGATCGATGCATATGCATCATCAGGGTTTGGAATCGATGCATTGATAAAACGAGTGATTCAATACACCCCTAATATATATATATATATATATATATATATATATATATATATATATACAGTATATATTTATTTATTTATTTATTTATTAATGTTAGTCTATTTTTTCTAACATTAATACATTTTTTGCTGAGCTGTTCTCTTCAAAATTTAAAGGCAAGAATTTCCACTCATGAATTAACAAAATATATATCTCTCACTACAACTATGAGCTGCCAGGGTCTGGAAAATTGATAATAATATTTAAAAAAAGCAGTGTACATATTCTTTTCATCAGCCTATTATGGTTCTTTTGAGAAACAGCAAGAATAAAGTGGGATTTTACCTTACAGAAATGTCACTACCTATGAACTTTGTCTTGAATGGCCTTCCTGTTTCATATTTGGTCTGTATCTGTCTCCAAAGGTTCCCTCATCACACTGGAGCCTCATAGAATGACATTTGATCTCGGCCAAAGGCCGGAGCAGCCAGTATCCACTAACCCATTTTATCCTCTGATTACAGCGGCCAGATTGGATTAAGAACCATGCCTTTAAAGAGCCATTGTGGACAGGCCAAGTTATGAATTGCACGTGGAGAGCCAGAAAGAGAATGAGAGAGCTAAAAATGTGAAATTATCTAAAAGTGCACTGCTGTTCTCCGCAGATTTTTGCATTACAGCAGCTCACGTCATATCGCTTTTCAGATATTTTTGCATTTTTGAAGTGTGCATTCTTTGCTGAAAGGAAAGCTCAAACCTGACCAGGCTGATCTGTTTCACTGGTTTAAAAGAGTTTTTCAGCACTTGTCAAGGTGGTTTACGTGACTAGGAGAGCATCTAAGACTGGCATAAACCAGATGAGACCAGCCAATCATTTAGACTGGTTTAAGCCCTTTTTTTCCCACCAGGGCTGAGACCTGTTTGTCACGTTAGAAATATATAAACGGTGTCTCTCCTGTAGCGTCTGTGTTTGAATGATATTTTCTGGAACGTGCAAATCACTTTCTGTGGCAGTAGAAAATTCTGTCAGCATGAATGAGATTTTGAATTTATGACCACAGAAATGCATCGGATTTTACATCATTAAAGTCATTTAAACACAATTTTCTGGCTGACTTTATATCAGCAAATTTACATAATAAAATGCTTGTTCAATAGCATCCCATTCAGGTACATTGTTCAACAGGAAAATAACTAGGATTATAGAAGACTTGGCTTCTCGCCTACATTTACTGAGTACTATTTTTCTAGCCTTCACTATGTTCACAGCTATGTTTCTGTGCCAGACATTAGAATCAATAAATTAATAACCTGCACATTATCAGCATGACAAATGGTAGCAGATGTGCTACTTTTCTTGTGAAGCACTCTTTGGAGGTAATCAAACTTTTTTTCTGCCATTTTCTTTCTTTTTTTTCTCTTTTTTTTAACCATGAGTCTTCCGGAAGCACAAAAGAAAGGATCTCCAGAAGGAATTACGGAAATAGACAGAAAATAATGAGCTTCGCTCTCACTACGTATTTTCCACTGAAGAATTACAATGAGCATGGGGGCGACTCCTTAATTATAAGAGTAAATGAATAGCCAGGTTTTGTCTCCTAATGATACCATGTGGGAAATGGCAAACATTCGTATCTAAATTATGATCGACCATTTCAAATCATGATTAAATAACATCATGCTATATCCTACGTATATCCCTCGCCATCATTCATTATTTTCCTCATTCCTCTTCCCTTGTTAAAAGCGACACTGTCAGGCGAGAGCGCTGCATTGTCATCTTGTCTAGGTCCCTTAAGAGAGAGCATCAAGATTACTCACTGTTTTCACTATAAATCTTTGCAATTGTAAAATGTGAGAATGGCTTTTGCCTGTAATTTATCATAGCTGTAAAGCAGAGGACAGGTTGAATAGCCCCCTGCTAGTTTTCATAAAGCAACAGAGCGCTGATGCAATTTTCCCAGTAAATGTCTCTACCGTCGTTATTTGTCATGACACAGAAATCAGTTTATGAGAAGTTCATGTAGATAAGTGTTATGAATACAGTGACCCTGAAGACCACTCTTTTTTTTGCCACTCTTAAAAATGCCTGAAAGCCAGCATATTAAAAAACCAAATCAAGCCAATTAGCAACAAGTTGCTAAATGTTAACTCTTTTGCCTGTTATGCTTGAAAAGTGAAATTCTCTCATTTACTCATCCTCGTTCCAAAGCTGTGTGACTTGCTTTCCTCTGTGGAACACAAAATAATTTAATTAAATAAATATATATATACTTTTTTTGTAATACATTGAAAGTCATTCCTATTTCATGTTCTGTAGAAGAAAGAAATTCATAAACGTTTAGAACGACATGAGGTGGAGTAAATAATATCAGAATTTAAATTGAGTGAACTACCCTTTTAATATTCATACATGCACATATGCATTACAGTATCTGTAAATCATGAATACTGGATTAAAATGCATTATAAATAATGAATTTCTTCTTATCTACCTTTTGCTTTTACTCCATTGTACTATTTGAATTGCTGGATGGATGTATAACCTGACACGTGTGACTTTAGGCATTTAGCACCTGTTGCTGGTAATTGTGCTGGAGTTTAGCACATGCCACACTCGTCTGCGACGGCGGTTCAGTCAGAAGCTAGACTGAAGGGAGAGGAGGAACACAGAGATAACCCAGCCGCTCTCTCTCTAACAGATGGACTAATAACATAATTAAGTAGCCGCGCGCCTGGTTCCTGTTTACCGTCATGTTGCTAAGCAATGACATCAGCCAATCCCTCCGTATAATCCTGCCCCCTCCCTCTCTCTCCCTCTCTCTCTATCTCTCCCACATGCATTCATCCCGGTAACAGTCTTAGCGTGCTGTAGTGGTCTGAGCGCAGCTCACAGGCAGACGGCATGACCACAGTGTGCTGGAGCAGCCCACAGCCTCTCATGTAGCCCACCGCTGCGATCGCAAACTCACACACACATGCACTTACACACCAAGACACGCTCAGTTGCTCTTCAGGGACACTAAGAGATTACCAGGTCAAAGAAGATTTGACTTTTGAATTTTTTGGTATTTTTTTATTTGATTTCTTCTTTTTTTTTTTTTTTGTACTGTTACCACCCGCCCTTTGCCGGGTTCAGGGGTGGTGGCACATCCTCTAAAGGGCTGCATGAATGACACAACGCAAAGGCGAGAAGACGACCATCAGCATCCAGGAGCACATGGCCATTGATGTATGTCCAGGTCCCATTCAGCCCATCAAGCAGATATCTGACTATTTCCCCCGTTACCCACGGGGTCTCCCCCCCACAGCTCCCCCAGCCCTCAGCCGTGCCGGCTCCCTGCAGAGCACCTCTACCAGCCAGAAGTCGGAGGGCCCGGCCGCGGACCCCAATCGGGATGAGGACGACCTGGACCAAGCCTTCGGTGCCACCGCACTCGTGGCCAGCAAGAAAGAGGAAGAGCCAGACGTGGAAGGCTACGATTCGGACGACTCCAGTGAGTAGTTGTTTCTGACTCTTTGTCTTTGTGCCACTCTAGAATTGACAACTGTTGCATCAGATTCCTCTGCCTGTTTGTTTTCACTCACCTGTATGAATGGAGCTCCATGGAATGGCAGCTCTGATTGAATTTTTGGAAATGGCTTGAATGGTTTATTTAGCATGTGATTATTTGGGTTCAGACAGACAACGTATTGAAGGGGCACATTATGTCAAGCCTTTCACTATACTGTGCTTTTTTGTGTTTGTTCCATTGATCGACACATCTTTAAAGTGATTCTTGTGGGCATCAGGTGCGAGTCATCCGTTCCTGTTGTATATCTATGTCTGTAGAGCGCTTGTCTGTCCCAGATGTAAATCCTATTATGGACCTCTGCCTGCCTCTCCGTTTGGAGTCCGGTTTTCAATCATGGCAGCCTGTAGACTAGATTAGATAGAGCCCTGCGGTCTCATGTGGTTATTTTATCATTATCATGCTCTGTCTTAGATGGGGTTAATCCATACAGTGCCGAGCTGGACGTGTGTGTCTGAGCATGTGTGCTGGTGGAAAAACAAGTGGTTATAACGATGCAACGATGGGGTCTGGATCTAATCCCGGATGGCTTTGGCATAGCACGCAATGATCTGTTGCTGACAGATGTTAACCTTTGACCTTCATGCAAGACCAAGAGTGAGCTGCACAGTGCAAATCATTTTCTAAATCAATATTTTGTTGCTTCAGGGAAATATCTAAACATCCTTGAAATTAGATTGAATTACCTGAGAAGCAAAAACAGTCAGTTTCAATGCACCCTCTGTAAGTTTTATTTAAAAGGAACAGTTTACCCCAAAATAAAAATTCAACCTCATGTCGTTCCAAACCTGTATGACTTACTTTCTTATGTGGAATACAAAAGAAGATATTTTGACATAAAAAGTCAACGGGGTACAAAACAACACTGATCCCCATTGACTTCCATTGTATGTACCCAAAAACACTGAGACATTTCTCAAAATATCTTCTCTCATGTTCCACAGAAAAAAATAAAGTTACACAGATTGAAAACTACATGAGGGTGACCCCTTTAAGCAAGACATATTAGGATTGATGGATAATGACAACAAGCAATCTGTAGCACGTTAACTGCCCAAAGATTATCTGAAGTGCATCTTTGTCCTAGTGTAATTGCACGCTTTGCTGTCGACTGCAGTAATCAATATCAATCGCTCATACGCAACAGTCTGTCACAGGTTGACGAAATGTGCCAGCCGATATAACCAGTCCTTCACCTTTCATGAGGCAGTGTAATTCATGTAGATATGCTGTATCTGCGAGTGTGATCATAAAAGCAGAGGATCGTGGGACTGCGGTCTGATGCGCCTGTGTTTTATGATGGTAGATTAGCATGGACCTATTGTGCTGTGATTCATCGGTGTGTCGCTCTAAATCATAACCCTCTTCCTGTTCTCTCGATCTCGCCTGTTGTCTGAATCACAATGCACATATTAGTTGCACAACAGAGAGACAAATTAAATCCTAACCTGACATGTTTGTTATGTGACTCATGAAATACAAATAAGCCAATTATACTAATTTGCCAGAGCATTTAATGGTTCGAACGTCTCACGGCAAGTTTAGCAGAGTATGTTAGAGGAAGAAAATCGTCTCTGAGGGAACAAACTTGAGGCTTTGCTAATGCAACAGATGGATTACAAGGAACTTCTACAAACATTTGGCGATGGTGTCTCTTCGGCTCTGCCGACAAACCGTTTATGAGTTGAGTACTACAAGACAGATTGCAAACAGAGCAGTCTTCTGTTTCAGAGCTTATTTAAGAGCCGGATCCAAACAAAATTGGACTTGAATTTTAGCTGAGCACTTTTGTCAGTTGCAAACATACAACTGGTTGCTTCATCAGTACATAGTATCCAAGCTGGGAAGAAATAAAAATAAAATGATGAATTCCCATTTGGCTTTGAAACCCCTTACTAAATACCACCTGTTTGTCACTCATGCTGAAAGCCTCACTGACCTCTTGACTTGAATTAACTAAACACAGATGCTTTGGGAAAAACAAGCCACTTTGACAGATGCAATCCACAAAATACCAATGAGTACCTGTGAGTAGGGCTGAACGATTTTGAAAAATAATCTAATTGCGATTTTTTTTAACCAACATTGTGATTGCGATTTAATATGCAATTATTTTTTTAAGCTCTTTATGTTCTGTATTATTCAACAAAGACAAGCTATAAATCATTGTATAGTATAACCAACACTATTAGAAAGATTCAACATAAATGTTCTTTTCTGTAGGCAAAGCCTATATGTTACGATGAAATTAAGTGATGCATAAATTGATATGAATGACATTTTTATTTAACAACTACAATCACAGTATATTGACTGATTTGTTGAACTTCCAACCTTGTAAGCATGTAATAATTATGACAACATAAAGCACTGACAAATAAGCCTGGTGTAAACATTAATATGAAAGTCAGTAACAAATCACACAAACTAAAGCAGAAATATAAAAACAAATCTGTTGCTTTACCACACTAGGTAATTCAAAGTCACTGTAATAAACATATGTAAACATGTGGATTGCACTAAACACTGTCTGTTAACTTTAGACCAGTGGTTCTCAAACTTTTTTGGTCGCGCCCCCCTTTAAACCTATAAAAAATCTTATCTTCACCTGCATCACTTGAAACATTGAAAAATAGCATAGAGAGAATAACTGTTATTATTATTATTCTCTCTCTGTTATTTATTTATTTTTTGTGGGTTTCATGCGGTCCGATAAGGCATAGGACACACACAGGCTTTCCTCCTCACCAATGACATTAAACACGTGTCTACACTGGACGTGAGCGGCAAAATACAGTAGAAACCATTATAACCAGTGACGCTGTCTACACTGGATGCGACGCGACATTAAACTGATGCCTTGTTCTATTTATGACGTACTGACACAAGTTAAAATTATTTGCAATGGTCGCTTTGTCGTGTCCAGTGTAGAGCTGTTGCTGCGTGACACGATAACTGTAGCGTCCGGTATAGACACGGTGAGTGAAGCCGAGAGCAAGATATGCCTCGTCATATTTTCTGCATTTAGCTTTTTTCACAAACCGATCCATCTCCCATTCTAAGTTACGTCCTTTGGCTGTTTACTGTTTTATTTCTTTTCTTTTTCTGTTGATGGCCCGCGCTCTATTTGAAGCAGCGCTGCTTAGACCGATGGGTGTGTGTCATCAAAGTACTGAGAGAGCTATAAGAGAGCGGACGTCTCCTTATGCTTTCTCTTGCCATACTTTAATTTCATACACCGATTGATCTTCAAGTCAAACACACCTCTTTACTCTCGCGTGTCATGTGACAGAGTGTAATCGCAGCCTCTGCGATTGAAAAATCGTGTTTTTTCATATTGTGATATTCTCGCAAATGCAATTAATCGTTCAGCCCTTCCTGTGAGCTCTGTACCAGGGAGGCAGGTCCTTGGGGTTGTGTACCCCTGGTGGTTTCTATACACAGATAAGCAGGGGTGTGGACTCGAGTCACTTGACTCAAGACTTGACTCGGACTCGAGTCCCAAATTTGATGACTTGCAACTCGACTCGACATAATTAAAGAAGACTTGAGACTCGACTTAGACTTTGACAGCAAGGACTCGAGACTTGACTTGAACTTGAGCTCTGTGACTCGGAAAGACTATGATCAGATCAAAGTCGTTATAGACGCATCCCTGCAGCGTGCTTGCGCTTGACTGGCAATAAGCCAGAGACTGCGTTCAGGGAGCGCTGGATATATAGGCTAGTATAAATTAATGGAGTAATAGCATAACTTTTGACAAAAGAACAGAGATAATAGAAATAACAAATAACATGATTCGTCTAGTAGCGATCTCCGCTCGTGAAAAGTGATGCCCTGTCCGTTTGATCGCCGCCCAGCAGACACACTGAGAACATGAGGCGCAGCCGCGATCACTTCACTGGTGCTCGCCTCATCATCACTGTGACCGCTGCTGTTAAATATTCCTCACTTCTTCTGTTTGTCCGACACTGAGGTTCACCATGAGTGAAGGATCCGCATCCCGTCACGACCCTCACACTCTGCCAAATCGATGTGCTTTCATTTTCATTTTTATTTGTAATAAACACCTCTACCATAAGTGCCGGATCCGCATCCCGCCACGACCCTCGCACTCTGCCAACTTGATGTGCTTTAATTTTATTTTATTTGTAATAAACACCTCTCTGAGACCTGTTTTTGTCAGATCTCCACTGTTTTTGTTCGATCAGTTACATATTTTAATTGCATGTGCATATTTTATTTATTTAAACCTCCATTAACCCTTAAATGCATGAATGTTTTGCCAATCATTATTACATATCTGGGTCTTTAGCGACCCGGACCTATATATACAGCACGGATGGATATTTAACTGCTGCAATAGCAAAAAAAAACTCTCTTGATATTTTAAAAACAATTACAGAAGAATAAAATAAAGCATATTTCGTTACCTTTTGAAATTTAAAAGGGTTCAATTTGAGCAGATGATTTTACCATTGCTGTCATCATCAGAGCGCACTTCCACAGTACATTCAGCATCTGCCTCACATTCACGATCTCAGCCATATTCTCAAAACGATCGTTTTCAGTGACTTCAAGTTCAATATTTTGATCACTGGCAGCTTATTCACCACATCCAGCATGAAATGACAGTGACATTTATATTTCATTGCATATAGTAATTGCTCTGCAGTAAAGCCATTCAAACCACTTCAATTTTTGCTGATGATTGTCATTTGTTTTATGCCTGCGGTAATTATGAGTGAAACGTCACGTCATTATTGTGTATCAAACAGTGCCACCTTGAGCAAAAAAGATGCATTGCACATATTGAGTCATCAGATATGTAAATGTAGTTGCGCAGGAAAAAATACTTACACATTTACAAGTGCATCTCAATAAATTAGAATGTCTTGGAAAAGTTCATTTATTTCAGTAATTCA